TGAGATAACAGATGATTTCATCCTCATTTTACAAGTGAGGCACAGTAAAATGAATCACTTTGCCCAACATCAAAGTTGGGTGAGCGGAAGAGCCATCCTTCCAGCCTGGGCACTGCACCAGTGGCCACCCCATCTCACCACGCTGAGTTGCAATGAAAGGAAAAGGGACTGATGGGAACACATCCTAATGGGACCTGCGTTTAATCAGTGGGCCCCCTGCGGTTTTTTTTTTTAAATCAGGCAGACCTGCCACCTCTAGCTCCCAACCCTGGCATATCTGCGGCAGCGGGAAGCCCAGCTCTCCCTGCCCACGGGCACCCTCCTGTGTGGCTGCAGCTCCATTTCTCATCCCCCATCATCACCCCAACGCCACACGCAGAAAAAGACAGGGGAAAGACAGATATCTTCTGTATGGCCTGGAAGACTTAAATTTAGGAGTTAATTCTGCTTGAGTACTAAGACAACAGAAATATGGAATGCTTATGGGGTACCTTCTTTCTTGTCAATTGATTGTTTACTTTTTACTTACTTTCTTGGGGAAAATCCTACACTCTCCCCCTCCACCCTGTAGATGGATGTCTTGAGATCTCTCTCATGTCCCTCATTATTTTCACGTTTATGCTTTCTTTAAAAACTATTTTTTCACTTTGTCACTCCCTGGGGCTGCTATTAAGTCCTACAGCCTCATTTATCTCTTCAGCAGCGTTAAAATGTAAACCTGAGTTCCACCCCTCACCTGACCTCTGCCGTGGGGTTTCTCAGCTCCTTCCAACGAGGGCTAGAAACTCTCCCCAGCTCTGCTGACACGAATACAAAAGCGGGGAGCCTGAGCCCCTGAAGTCCAGCCACAGTCCGTGGGCAGAGCGCAGCTTGGCTGAGGTGAGTTTTTAGATAGCTGAGCACTCTTTAAAACAATAAACATGGACAGTTATTTCCATCCCTAAAAAAGAATTAAACTTTAACAAATTCCCAGTGTTTTTTATCTCCCAATAGAAAGATCCTTAGGGATTTTGCCCTGGGCATTTCAGACTGAGGCTAGTTCTGTTTCAGACATAATCTCCTCAAAACTAGGAGACCCTCAGCCAATCAAATTTGAGGGCTTCACCTGACCACCACCCCCCCAAGCACATTTACTAAGTGGTCCATGACAATGGGTGTGCTTTGCATTTTTTCTATAGTAAGGGAGGAAAAGCAGCAGCTTCCCATCCCAGAATCTTTGACTACTTCAATATGCAACAAATAGTGAGCACCTACTAGGTACCAGGCAGTGACTGTGCTAGGGTAGAAAAGAGACCCTACGATGGTTCTAGGAAGGAAAGAAATCATTCCATCCTCTGAACTCAGATCCAATGAAGAGATACATTCAAGAACCTGACAGGAGGAGATTAAAATATCAGCTTTAGGGCTTCCCTGGTGGCGCAGTGGTTGAGAGTCCGCCTGCCGATGCAGGGGACACGGGTTCGTGCCCCAGTCCGGGAAGATTCCACGTGCCGTGGAGCGGCTGGGCCCGTGAGCCATGGCCGCTGAGCCTGCATGTCCGGAGCCTGTGCTCCGCAACGGGAGAGGCCACAACAGTGAGAGGCCCGCATATTGCAAAAAAAAAAAAAAAAAAAAATCAGCTTTATTATTAGTAAAAGCTGGATTGGAGGATGTGGCTTAGCTATGCAGCCTCTTACTATTTCCCACTCCTGCCCAACCCACCCCTGGAGAGCCAGCCTCCCGCAAGTGGCAGAGCGTGTATGCCCAGGGAGCTGGTCCCCAGCTGAGGGCTGACAGGCAAACCTCCACGGGGGCCAGATCTGAAAGAGAAAGGACCGTACCAGTCTCAGGCCCTTTTCCAAGCTCACAGGTTCCATACGCCAGTTACTCCTCTGCAAAGAAGGCACAGTGAGGGCGGGAGGAGGGCCAGGAGTGTTGCTCTGGCTGAAGCCCCCGCACCGGGAACTAGAGACGCCCCACATAAACATGTTCCCTCCTCTCATGGAGAGGACAGCCCAGCGGGGAAAAGGAAAAGAAGTATACAACGATGGAAGCAAGATCATTGCTTTACACAGTAAGGGGGTCTCTGGGCTAAGGCCAGAAGGATGAGCGGGGCCCCTGCCAGCTGGGCAGGTTGTGGAGGACTCAGATGCACGAAGGCTCAGAGCCTGATATAAAGCACGTGAGTGCAAGATGAGGGCGGACGTGGGGAAGCGACCAAGGTGGACTTCCCCCTCCTGGCTCTGTAAGGACCAGCTTCCTCCACATCCGTGACTTTTGCACTCAAGGAATAAGGAAATGAGCACAGGACCCAGGACGTAGATGCTCCAAGGGCAAAGGAAGGTTTGCTCATGTGCCTGCGGTGGCCTCGTACGTGTAGGTGCTCTGCAAGTATTTGTTCTTTGAACTCACATCACATCCCTCCAGCAGCAGGCCACTTTTCCTTTGAGACTGTTTCTTTCAGCTGAAGAGACCCCAATCCGAGTCACCTTCCCACTTCCTCAGCCTCTGCTGTGAACATTCCAGAAGTGATGTTTGCATAAGCCTGATGCTCTCAGGAGCACGGCTCTCTGTAAATACAGTTTTATTATTAGAAGACGATGAATTTTTAAAATGCCAATTCCAGGCTTTTCATTGTGACAGAGTGTAATTCAAGTCTGCATATACTTTGTTCTTTCTTCATCAGAAACCTTGCAGGTCTCAGCTCTGGGCTGAGGACACGACTCTGGTCAACGGTCAAGGCCACAGGTGCCCAGGGGAGACGGGGTGGTCCTGTGAGTGATGGAGCTTGCCCAGTCGGAGCACGGCCGCCCAGCTCCTAGGAATGTTCAGGAATATAGGTCCAGCCATAGCTTGTCAACATTTTCAGCCTTATACTCATTTTTCCTTTCATGATTCCAATTGGAGGACTTGTCCTAATTAAGGTTTATGCCTTATAGCACTGCTTCTTAGCCAAATAGGGTTGGAGGCACACAGGGTAGAGCCTGTGACGTCACACCAGTCTTGGTTCAAATCCTGATTCCATCGCTTACTGGCTGTGTGATTTTGGCAAATCATTTAATCTTTCTGGACCTCATCTGCAAAACAGGAATGTTCACAATCCCTATTTCAAAGGATGACTGTGAGAGATACCACAGGTAAAGCACGGAGCACCCTCTTCTGGCAGAGCAAAACCCCAGAGAGAGGTTTCCCTGACCCTCAACGCCTCCTGTCCCCAACAGAGAACCCGGGGGAAATGGAAAGCCAAGTGGGCATCTCCTGGGGAGAGAAAAATAAGACCAGAATCAGCCAGCATCTGGGGCACTTCCTTAATTCTCAGCGGGTTGCTGATCTAACTGGGAAACAATTTGTCACACACCTAACTGGCCTCCCTTACTGATGGGATCAAATAAGCTTGCAGGGCAAAGTCTGAGGCATGGAGGCCTCTTACGCCCTGGGCAATGACCCTCGGGCCCTGCAGGGGTATAAAGCGGTTTCTTCTCTTGGATGAAGACTACTTCCCTACCTCCTCCAGGACTTGACCGGAGAGCTTGATGTAACTCACTTTCATGGCATTTATTATTCTACCCCATTTCTCACTGTCTGCGGGCAGGTCTCTTCCCCATTAGAATGCAAGCCAGTGGGAGGTAGGTTGGACGGCGGGCAGAATCTTCGTCTCCTTCATCCTCCACCAACTTGCCCAGTGGCTGCCAAGTAGTGCTAAAAAAAACCCAAAACCCCAGCCAAACAACTCTCCTAATGAAGGGCTGAGCCACGCCCACCACAGTGCCACAGGGCCTAAATTCTCTGCTAATCCCAGGCCAGCTTTTATCCATTGATAGTTTTCACGTCCTTTTCCACTTTAAAGCTCTCAGTGATATCAATTATTGCCTCTACCATAAGACTGTTGTCTGTCTTCTCCTTTACCTTACAGATTCTTTGGGGGCCTGTACAACTTTGAACATGAAACTTTGGAAATAATGGACTGTGGAGAATAGGAACTAGGTCTTTAAAAACATTTTTTTTGAGGCAAAATTCACATAATATAATTAGCTATCTTAAAGTGTACATTCAGCAACATTTAGTACATTCACATGGTTGTGCAACCACCACCTGTATCTAGTTCCAAAAGATTTTCATCACCCAAAAGGAAATCCCTGGGACTTCCCTGGTGGCGCAGTGGTTAAGAATCCGCCTGCCAATGCAGGGGACACGGGTTCGATCCCTGGTCTGGGAAGATCCCACATGCCGCGGAGCAGCTAAGCCCCGTGAGCCACAACTACTGAGCCTGTGCTCTGGAGCCCACGAGCCACAACTACGGAAGCCCACGTGCCGCAGCTACTGAAGCCCGCGCGCCTAGAGCCCGTGCTCTGCAACAAGAGAAGCCACCGCAATGAGAAGTCCGGCACCGCAACGAAGAGTAGCCCCTGCTCGCTGCAACTAGAGAAAGTCCGCATGCAGCAACGAGGACCCAACGCAGCCAAAAATAAATAATTAATTAAATTTTAAAAAAGAGAGAGAGCTTTGCTTTAAAAAAACAAAAACAAAACATCCCGAAGGAAATCCTGTACCCATCGAGCAGTCACTCCCTCTACCTCCTCCCCACCAGCCCCCGGCATCAATCAATCTGCATTTTGTCTCTGTAATAGATTTACCTATGCTGGATATTTCATAAATTAAAGGCAATCACATAACATGTGGCCTTTTGTGTCTGGCTTCTTCCATGTTTTCAAGGTTCATCCATGTCGCAGTAGGCATCAGTGCTTTACTCCTTTGTATAGCCGAGTAATATTCTATGTGTATACATTTTGTTTACCCATTCATTCATTGAAGGATATTTTAGTTGTCCCGACCTTTTGGCTATGATGACTGACACTGCTATGAATATTTGTGGGGAACTGGGTGTTTTAAACCATTGTATTCTGGGTACAATGGCCCTGCAATAAATATCTATTAAATAGTTGGATGGATTTCAAAAATGGTTGTGAAAAAATAGGCCAATGTCATAGAATTTAAGGTGGAAGCCAAAAGGGTCCTGTTACCTCGTCTCCAGCTCCAAGGAAAACAGCTCACACTGTTCAGTGCTTGGCAAATGTAATGGGTGCTGACAGTGATGACAAGACGGGCGGTAACAATGAAGAGGAAACTCAGGATGATCGTTATAGACCTGGTCCTGGCGGGAGCGCCGGGTTTCATGGACTCATAGATGAATTCATTACGGCCACACTGGATAACTTAAAGATCGGTGGCGGGTGTTTTAGATGTTCCACAGCTCCTGCAGAAATCCAGAGAAAGAAATCAAAGGTTCTGAGATTGGACAAGAACTTGGTATTTGCCCCACGGAGCAGTGGAAGCACTGTCCCGAGGGTGGAGCCGGGACGCCAGAGTGACAAAGGGACAGGCCTGCTGTGGGATGGTGGGCCGGGGCTGGCTCCTTTGAGGGAGGAGAGCAAAGTGACGCCGAGCCCAAGAGAAAAGGCTGTGCCAGGCCCAAGGAGAAGAGCGATATGGTTGTACATCAAAGGGCAATCACATCGTGGAAAGAAAAATGGCTCCTACAGTGGCCTTGTCAGTGGCACCTGAACAAATTGTCAGTGACTATGTTCAAGGTGTCGGCGTGACTATAAAGTACGTCCTGGATTATGGCACATTTGGAAGAATAATGAATGGTACAATTTTGTTGTTAGGGTGCCACTTCCCAGTTGTGTGGTGAAGAACTTGAAATAGCCAACGATCCCACATTCATTCATTCATTCGTTCGTGCATTCAGCAAACATTTATGGCATAACGTCCACGTGCAGGGCACTGTGCTCAGTGCTCCAGGATTACTGTCAGCAGCTCATTCGTCAATGAGCGGGGGCAATTTGGTCTTAAAGGCTGAATAGAAATTTACCAGGATGGGCATGGGCTGGGGAGGGGAAGGCACAGGCCTGAAAATCTAACCTTGAGGAAGATGAAAAATTATGTCCCAGAGACAAGGTTTTTTCAAGTCCAGATAATGCAGTTATCACTTTGAAAATCTTTGGGATGATCTATCATTGGGCAATATCTGAAGAAAGTGATTTTGGAGTAAAATATCTTTCTTACTCATCATTTATTAGACAGTGGTTACCTGCCAACGTTCAAAAGGAACTGAAGTGACTTACAATAAAAATTCCTTATTCTCAGTGTGAGAGAAAGCCCCGCTATCTGCGGTTTTAGCAGACGCTGTGGCCCTCAGGGTTCCTGCAGGCAGCCACCTCCACTTGCCCCAGCTCCGGCTCTGCCCGAGGGCTTTCCCAGGAAATGGAAATGCTAGGAGGCAATGCCCCAGCAGCCCCAGGCCAATGACAGAAGAGGACAAATACTCCAACCTCCTCGGGTGGGACATTCTCCATGGTCATCGGAGGCGCCCTTTCCCTGGCAGGACTGAATCCCAACCTCATGCCCTCTGTATTGCCTTCCTTCCCTTCCCTTCCTCATTTCTCCGCCTACTCACAGCGCTTCCTGGGATCACCTCCTGAATTTGCATTCAAAACTTTGTCTCAGGGCTTCCCTGGTGGCGCAGTGGTTGAGAGTCCGCCTGCCGATGCAGGGGACATGGGTTCGTGCCCCGGTCCGGGAAGATCCCACATGCCGCGGAGCGGCTGGGCCCGTGAGCCATGGCCACTGAGCCTGTGCATCCGGAGCCTGTGCTCCGCAACGGGAGAGGCCACAGCAGTGAGAGGCCTGTGTACCGGAAAAAAAAGAAAAAAAAAAAAACAAAACACAAACTTTGTCTCAGGGTCTGTTTCAGGAGGAACCCAGCTGTTGCAGGTTGAACTGTGTTTCCCAAAAGACGTGCGGAAGCTTTAACCTTCCCTCCCCAACCCGTGCACGTGACCTCATTTGGAAATAGGATCTTTGTAATTGAAATCAAGTTAGGATGAGGTCCTCCTGGATTAGAGTGGGCCCTAATCCATTATGACTGGCATCCCTATAAGAAGAGTCATAGGCAGACACAGGGAGAAGGCCACGTGAAGGTGGAGGCAGGGATTGGAGGGATGTGTCTACAAGCCAAGGAACATCAGGGATCGCCAGAAACCTCCAGAAGCCAGGAGAGGGGCATGGAAAGGATTCTCTCTCTCAGGACCTCCAAAAGGAACCAGTCCGGCTGATACCTGGATTTTGGACTTCTGGCCTCAAGAACTGTGAGTGAAAAAATTCCTGTTCCTGTAAGCCACCCAGTTTGTGGTCCTTTGTTATAGGTTCCCTAGGAAACAAATACACCAACCTATGACAAAAGTGAATGTTTCATTCTTTTGAATTTTCCAGGAGTCTGGGGTTCTTTGACCATGTGCTTCAGAGACCCTTACTGCCGGGGTCCACACTGTCCCTGCTCTGGGGTCAGACTGTGATGACAGGAGGGCTCAGGCAGAAAGGACGGGAGGAGGAGGCTAGTGCACTCTGCTGGGGTCCTCCTGGGTGGTCACAGCCAGTGACAATAACGGTGTGACCAGGTTTAACAAACAGGAGGGGTTGGAAATGCCTGATGCTTCTATAACATTTACAGGTCTTTTCTATACTCCCCCACAAAACCCTACACTCACATGTAACTGAGCTTGTACGGCTGTTAAATGCTACAGTATGCTGTTTGCCAACATTAGATGGATCACGGCACTAATTAAATCCTGGCAGGGGAGTTCATATAAGTGTAAAACTTGTTTATGTCAAACTATACATTCCAAATCTCTTGACTGCTTACATTTCTATTCCATTTCCAAGAAAGGAAGGAAGGAAGAAAAGAAAAGAAAGAAAGAAAAAATCATTGACCTCTTTTGGAAATTATCTTAATCCTTTATCAAAACCCAATTCCAGTTTTCAAACCTTCAACTGTTTCTATCTTCTTTTATCTACCTTTATTGAGCCAGCTGCCTCTTCCTCAACTTGCATTCAGTCCTTTTCTGTAAGAAATAAATCTGCTTTGAAGTGTTTGCCCTTGAGCCCTGAAGACAGAGGAAGGATAGAGGAAAATCAGCACAGCCTGATAAAGACGCTGCAAGCCCTCTCCGGAGGCTGGGGAGACGCTTCATGCGTGTCTTTGGAACCTTGGAGTTTTCCTCCTGGTCTTTCACCCCCTAGGCCAGAGACATCAGGTTCCCAAAGCAAAACCCAGTGCGGACCTGTGGCTGGAAGTTGCCGTAGCAATCTGGAATCTCTTTTAAGGATTCCCTCCCGCTATTCAGCAGACAAGCGTTGCCATGGTAACCCTCCGGGGGGCATTTTCAACCAGACAGAGACATTCCAACAAGTGAAGATGGTTGGTTAGGAAAATCTATCTTGACAAATAGTTGGCGTTTTAATTTGAGGCAGAGTCAGAAACTCTGCCTACGGCTCCGAGTGACCCTTTGAGCAGAAGAATGCAAGTGATCAAAGTAATCTGAAATGTCTGTAATCAGACTCCCAGCTGGGGAGAGCAGGGCCCGGAAGCCCTCTTGGGGAGGTCTCTCCGTAAGAAAGAGGCCCGGCTAGTGAGATATCCTGTGAGTGCTGTTAAGAGCAGACGTCAATGGTGTTGATTCCTCCTGGAAAGGGAGACGGGCGCTCTTTTCTTTTACACTCTTACTTACTTATTCACTCTCCCCATCTCCCTCCTAGTATCTTCCTGCCTTTCCGGGTTCCATTTCTCTTAGGCCACATACCATATTGGATTTTGAATTCATTTGAACCTGGAGCTCAATCCCAGCTGTGTGACCTTGTTCCTTAGCCTCTCTGGGCCACAGTTTCCTCATTTGTTAAATGGAGCTAGGACGGTGGAAGATACTTGTAAACACTGAATGGGATGACATCTGTACCTGGGTTAGCACAAAAGCAGCACAGAGCTACCCAATAAACATTGGTTCCTTCCCCTCTTATAACTTTTCTTTTTCTTTGTATTCTTTGTGCAAAGCAGAGTGACCACGAATTAGAGAGAGAGATGCCATCCTTCAGCTCAGTGGGTGTTTGGCTAAAGCAAAAGCATCTGATCGTACCTACTGTTCAAATGCAGAGACCCTCACAGGATAAAGGCACGATATCCCAAGAGAGCTGGAACAGGACCAGCAGAAGTATCAATTAATCAACAAAATCTTGCTATGCCACTTCTAGTAAGTCCAGACTGCTGGGGGTAGGGGTAGGAGGAGATGCAAAAGTGTGTCCAATAGCACACTATGAATGTAGTTAATGTCACTGAACTGTACACTTAAAAAATAGTCACGATGGTAAATTTCACGTTATGTGTCCTATCACAATTTTTTTTTAAAAAGTGTCACTAGTAGGCTTCCCTGGTGGCGCAGTGGTTGAGAGTCCGCCTGCCGATGCAGGGGACAAGGGTTCGTGCCCCGATCCGGGAAGATCCCACATGCCGCAGAGTGGCTGGGCCCATGAGCCATGGCCGCTGAGCCTGCGCGTCCGGAGCCTGTGCTCCGCAACGGGAGAGGCCGCAACAGTGAGAGGCCCGCATACGGCAAAAAAAAAAAAAAAAAAAGCCACAAGCTCCATTCAGCACCCTCGGAGGACAGACCACAGCAGCTTGGGAGAGAGGAGGTTTGCAGCTGGGGTGGAGCAAAGAGGGGCTGGAAAGAAGCAATGAAATGCAGTGCTGCTAAAAAAAAATAGCAGGAAAAACCCAGTCATGGCCAAGTCCTGGGGGACTCTGAGTGCTGGAGGGAGGCTCACTGCCCATGTTGAGTCATTAATGGGGAGCCACTGAGGACCGTGAGGAAGGGCGTGCCCATACCAGATCTTTAGGAAGGTTCCTCCAGCCTCGATCTGGGGGTCACACCCAAATGGAACGACCCCCTACATACGAACGAGTTCTGTTCTGAGAGCACGTTCATAAGTCCAATTTGTTTGTAAGTCCAACAAAGTTAGCCTAGGTACTCAACTAACACAATCGGCTATACAGTACTGTACTGTAATAGGTTTATAATACTTTTCACACAAATAATACATAAAAAACAAACACAAAAAATAAAGTGTTAATCTTACAGTACAGTACCTTGAAAAGTACAGTAGTACCAGCTACATCACTGCTGTTTTTTTAAAAATAAGTTTATTTTATTTATTTATTTATTTTTGGCTGCACTGGGTCTTCGTTGCGGTGCGCGGGCTTCTCATTGCGGTGGCTTCTCTTGTTGCGGAGCACGGGCTCTAGGCATGCAGGCTTCAGTAGTTGTGGCACGCAGGCTCAGTAGTTGTGGCTCACAGGCTCTAGAGCAGAGTCTCAGTAGTTGTGGCGCATGGGCTTCGTGGCTCCGTGGCATGTGGGATCTTCCC